CTAAATGTAAGATGTTATTTAGAACACTCTTGAGACATTATGATGTAATTGTGTACTGAGGCAGAGAAGTGTTAGTCTACATTTTATTAAATATCCATTTTAGTGTATAGCACTGTGCCAGGAAAATAAAAAGCAAACTTCTAAACTCAAGGTACTTCCCCCCTTGTCACCTGCCTTTCCATCTACGACTGTGTTAGGAATAAGAAACCCAAGGTCAGTAGTTCACCAACTCATCTTCAGTCCGGGTGGTCTGCCAGTATTTCTTGGACCTCAGAACCCCAGCATCTGCATCCGGAAGCATCCAAGAGCCTGAGGATCCATTTAAACTTTCAGCTAATGGCACACATTACCTCCTTCCTCCCAACAACACATAGTCTCCTCTTTCCTTCCCCCCCTCCCCCCCACTCCCCGCCATCATGAGACTATTTCTGGAGGGTCATATCTGTCAGGGGACTTTTGTTTCTGCATGCCTACCTATACTTCAGAAACCTAGTCTAGTCTATAATTGCACTTTACATTTGCATACTTCTTTTCACTTTTCATTGTATTTTCATGTATTCACCCTCATGAGGGACTCTCTGTTTCCGTGAAAATAGGCTTGGCAGGTGGTGTTGTTTCATTTTATTATTAAGAGTGCTATTGCTGGAGATATTAATGACTTGCCCAAGATGCCAAGGAAAACTTCAGAGCTTGTACTTCAGTCTTCATTATTAGAATCAAGTTCCCTTGGCTATTCATTGTAATGCTTTTAGAGAAAATTTTTAAGAGAGGTATAATATAGTGATGCAACTTTAATGCAACTTTATTATAAATATATATGTATACACATGTACATTATTCTTGGGTGTATCTATTAGGAGCTTTGTCTAAATGATGCAGCTCTTTTTGCCCTGTCCAGCGAATAGATGAGAACACCTATGAAGAATGCCCTTTGGTACACTGGAAAATTAACATGCCTCAAAGGGGTTTAGGAGAAACCTCTTTCAGGGAAGATTCCATAGTACATAATTCATAGAATCTCAGGACTGGAAAAGACCATACAAGTCATCTGGTTCAGCAGGTGTTTGATGGTTAAATCCTTGGCTAGATCCCATTTGAATCCTTGAGGGCTCACAGAATGGTTTTGAGGAACAATCCTTATTATACGTGATGCTTCGTGGCCTAAAAAACGTTATGTTCTACCAAGCTAATTGAGATGTTGACTATCCAAAAGAAAAGTTGTTTCTTTCTTTGGTCATCAGGATATTTGAAATGTTGTATTTGAAACATTCCCCTTAGAATTTGTTAGTGGTTATGAAAATTGCATATTTAGACATTTGTTTAATGCCATTGTTTATTGGAATGTAACTGTTTCAGTGTGACTAAATGATGATTGTTTTTCTTTTTTCTTTTTCTGTGTTCCTCTGTCTTTATTTACAAGCTCAACACCAGTTTCTTCCAGAATTGTTAACCATTTGTTTATGTTCAGTTTGTATAACATGCACAAGGCTTCATGTGAATGTTTTCAGGTTTTCTTGTGCTTTAGCCAGAGGGTTTGAAGAAGAGAGGGAGAGTTAGAGATTAAATTTTTAGTGCAAGCTAATAGAAGACATATAATAAACCTAAGGTACTTAAAAATTTAATAAGAAGCAATAACCAGAGTCAGTTGTTTTCCCTCTTTGCCTTTGAATGGAAAGGCAGGCCCCTGGGGAGGGAGTGTCGATGCGTGTGCTAGAGCATTACTTAGCAACTTGCACTACAAATCTCTTCCTTGAACCAGTGTTTCTTAGAATTTAAGACAAAAGGGTATAGAAGATGTATATAATTACACCCTGTTGTTGGTGCTTGCAGCTCTAACTTCTGTCCTAGAGTCATGGGTCATGCAATGCTGTGGCTAGGAGAGTACTTGTGGGAAGCTTAACATTGCATTGGGTTTATGTATTGTGGTTGCAGTGTACTTAAGAACATGACATTAGCAAATAGAACATTCATTATAATCCCTTGGGAAAGCTTAGATTCAACTTTACAAATTTGCACCATAAGTGGAAATGAATTTTTGTTTTTCACCTATAAAGGCTCACACAGACTTTTTAGTTCCTATTTAACGCTAAGCTTTATGTACAGACCCAAACAGTTCTAAGGATAGGCGTGACAGTAGGTGTGTGGGATGTTGTTCTCTTACAGTTGTCTGTTCTGTCTGTGGAGCTTCTCAGTGGCTTCACTGGTCCCCTGCAGGGAGTAGAGAAAGGATAACCTGAGAAGGTCAAAGGGTAACATTTCCCCTCTACATTTTTCATAGAAAGTCTAAGACAGGTAAAGTAGAGTAGAAATATGACCAAATATTCTATAATTTGCAAATTTTTAAAAGGCTTCCATATACATAATTTTAGGCTTGTGCTTGTGTGTGAGTGTTTTAAACCCTGTGAAATAACCATAACAGGTATTACTGTCCCCATTTTAAAGATCAGGGGAAGCACGTCATAGTCATAGGTTAAGTAATTTTCCCTTTGTCACCTGACACAGTGGTGCTGGGGCTAGAGCCCAGATATTAGGATTTGACGTTCACTTCTTCAGATACTTTCCCCTTGAGCCTAGAGGCCATACATTTGCAGTCTCTCTACTTAACTTTCAGGTGGCAGCTGGATAGGTCAAGGCAGTGACACTGGCATCTGTGTGGCAGGTGGAAGGCCAAGATGTCCTTAGGGGCAGAGGGGGTGGACAGGCCTTCACATAATTTATCCGTTTGTCCCTTGCCATGGCACTTCCTTTGTGAGCCACCTCTGCTGTTTTTCCCAAGGTTCAAGGCCCATTGAAATTCTCCCTCATATTTCCTTGCTGCTGTTCTCTTCCACCCACCACTCTTCCTGGTACTGGAGACTGTCTCTGGCACAGGGACTCCTAGCAAGAATGACTGTTCACACTTCTCTGGAAAAAGAAAGTAAAAGTTAAAATATAGTGACTAAATTGTAGTCAGTTGTAAGGGAAGAGTGACTTAAGATGTCCCCTGCTCTAGTTTCTTTTATTCTTCAGTTCATACTAAATCATCTTTTGTTCCCCAATTCACACCAAGTCATGAGCACTTTTCCATGTCTTTAAACATCATTTGAAAATATTTTTCATGATTCTTTAGCTTTCCGTTGCATAAATTTAGCATAATTTATTTATGTGTTCTTTTATTTTGGATATTTAGGTTATTTTCTAGTTTCCTCTTCTATGAGCATCATAGAAAAAACTTGACTCCTTGGAGAACGGAATTGTTCAGTAGTTGAAGATATGCAAATCTGGTTTAAATGGTTTCTTTGCCTAGTCATTGATTCATTAGTACATTGTGACAGTAATTTCAATTGGATAAATACAGGATTATTTTTTCTGAAATACAATTTTGATATCAGTTTTATTTTCAGATAGAGAAAATAAATAAAGATGGTCAATAAAAGGAATAGATTTTACAGTTACATCATCAGTATTCTCACCATAAAGTTTATTTGGTGGTTCAGCTTTTATAAAAGGTTGGGGTAGCAGCAGTGTTTTTCATGTAGCAGGTTGATACCTAACTGTGTAAATTTGAATGGTTCAAACCCTGTTATAAATAATGATCACTCTGTAAGAGTCATTAATTCATTGACTAGCTTATGTATTTTTGGGGTGTCTTCTTCAAACATTAAGCTTCATTTTTTTCCATCATGTATATAGAAAAGAACTGACCAATTATGAGCAAATCAGGAGAAATTGAGAAGCCAACTTACAGATTTCTTAAGAGTTTTATCTTCTGAAACTATGGCCTTCAATTTCCTGTGGGCATGTGCAAGGGGTTGGGAGGGAGGAGGTAGGAATTAGAAATTTTTGTAATGGTACCAGTTCCTCTTCTACCTTCTAAGTCTGACTCACATCTCTACTCACTGCCCAAGATTTCAGGTGCAGCAGGCAATGAGTAGATCAAGTTTGTCCTTTAAAAAAAATTGGTTTACTTTTTTATAGAAAGGGGAAGGGAGGGAGAAAAAGAAGGAGAGAAACTTTGATGTGAGAGAGGAAAATCGATCAGTTATCTCTTGTACACACCCTGACTAGGGACCAAACCCCAGGCATGTGCCCTCGCTGGGGATCAAACTGGCATCCTTTTGCTTTGCAGAATGATGCCCAACCAACTGAGCCACACTGGTCAGGGCTATCTTGGGTATTCTTTTCTCTTCTCTTCTTCTCTCTTCTCTCCTCTTCTCTCCTCTTCTCTCCTCTTCTCTCCTCTTCTCTCCTCTTCTCTCCTCTTCTCTCCTCTTCTCTCCTCTTCTCTCCTCTTCTCTCCTCTTCTCTCCTCTTCTCTCCTCTTCTCTCCTCTTCTCTTCTCTTCTCTTCTCTTCTCTTCTCTTCTCTTCTCTTCTCTTCTCTTCTCTTCTCTGGGTTTCTTTCTTTCTATGAGTTTCTTCTTTACTCAGGTTCTATTCAAACCTCCTTATCATAGCATTCACCAAGGCCCATGGTTTTGGAAAAGTCTCATTCTCCCTGATTGTTTTTGACATTGTCTCTTCCAGGTGTATTTGCTTTTAAGGGTGTTCCTGGATAAGTCTGTGCCTCACTTCCATGTTGTTTCTGTTTGGCTGGCTCAGCACTAGGGTCTGAGTTCTACTTCTGGGCAAACTTTGAGAGAGAGGACCACTACATAAAAATTAAACTTGGAATTCACACAAGTTTTTTTAAAAAAGTAGAAAGAAGGCTTTGGCCATTCATACAAAAGAATATTTCTTCTTTTCCCAACCTATGGTGGATAAAATGTGAGAGTACAGAAATTTGACTTGTTGCCTTGAATAAACTCAATATTCCTAGGATACAGTCATACAAAATTGCCTGTCTCTGCATTCTTCCCAAAGTGATGGCTCTTAGTATTCACGCTCATGATAACTTAAGTTTCCTGAGTACAGGAGCCCCAGGACTGCCAAGTAAGGAAGAAGAGGCAGTGGTGGTTTTGTAACCTTTGTACTACTGTAATGCAGTGGGTAATTGTCTTTTTTTTTTTTCTTAACTTCTAGTGCCTGAAACAGTACATGCAGCTGGCAATCCGAGATGGATGTGGGTCTCCCATCACTTGCCCTGACATGGTGTGCCGAAACCACGGGACCCTGCAGGAAGCTGAGGTATGGATGAATGCTGTGATCTTCCCCTTTTCTCTCGATACATTGCTTAGGATCTTTGCTGTGTACTTCCTGAACAGGGAGTCTAGAAACAAAAGACAGATGTTAACTTTTTTTAAGATTTTATTTATTTATTTTTAGAGAGAAGGGAAGTGAGAGAGACAGAGAGGGAGAGAAACATCAGTGTGTAGTTGCCTCTCACGTGGCTCCCACTGGGGACCTGGCATGTAACCCAGGTGTGTGCCCTGACTGGGAATCGAACCAGTGACCCATTGGTTTGCAGCCCACACTCAATCCACTGAGCTATGCCAGCCAGGGCAGATGTTAACTTTTTAAAGGACTGCTTCATTGCTACAACACCTTTGGATTTTTTACATAAACAAAGCTGCTGTTTACCTCAGTTCTATTTATAAATACTATCTGAGAGCTGAAGAAGCTCTAGAATGGATAGGCAAAGGTGTGGGAATCAAATTTACAAAATGTGAGGTTTGTAGCCTGAATAGTGAGTGGTCTTGTGATCTTTCTTACTTTAGAGATTAATAGACAACAGATTAGCCACAGCTATATATACACAGACCACAAACTAGCATTTGGGTCTACAAAGTAGTCTCAGTCAAACCATTTCCAAAGAGCAGAGAAAGGCCTTTCATTTGATCTTTATTGGGCATCAGAAATGTCTCTTTTTAGTAAGTTCTTCCACCATCTTCTTAAGACTGTGATATATCTCTTTCCTTTGTTTCTTCAATCTCTGAACAGTAGCTTACCCTTCTATCTGCTTCTAATCTTCAGAGCCTGCTCACTATAAGTCTTGTCTATTGATACAGAGTTGGTGTCTCAAAGAGGTCCCAAGAAACAGCTGAAATAATTTATTTATTCAGCAAACACAGCACACCTGCTGTACATCAGATGCTTTCCTGGTGTTTTCATAGCCAGTATATTATCTAATCCTTTCAACAAATGTATAAAACTGAGGCCCAGAGGATTTAAGTAATTTGCCCCAAAGGGCATATTTTAAAAAGTAGTAAGAGCTAGAAATCTAATGCAGTTTTTCTGACTATCATAGTTATATGGCTCTAAGAGTGAAACTAGGTACTTGGATAGAATGCGTGATAAAGGACTTGATCATTAGAAGCTGAATAGTGAACATGTGTGTGTAGATATATATGTATATATGTGTGGATTGTGTATGTGAGTATATATATGTACATGTGTGGGTATATACATGCTTTGTTTACAAATATATATACTCTTACATATAATTTTTTGCTTTAAGCAAAGCAGGCAAAAAGATGTCAATAGACCACTTCTAATCGATGTGCCTCTGGATGTCCTGTGTTCAGCTTATGGAATATCAGCTAAGTGGTACAAGTGAGTTTCCAGGTTTTTTAGGGAAGAATCAAAGGAATACATAATAATTTAGAAGTGATTCATTTCAGGAAAAACATGAAATAATTGATTTTTAAATAAAATCATAATATTCAATATGTAAAGTGAGAGATATTGCTTGCTTTTGTGTGGGTAATGGGCAGGAGGAAATTAAAGTGGGGAAAGATCAGGTGAGTCACCAAGAATGCTATTGAGCTGTGCAGCCCAGAAATAGTTTTTAAAAGGAGATTCAGGTATTGAGGAGCATGTTTCTCTGCAAAATCCTTCCAAGAAAGATGCTTCCTTTTTGACTTCTGATGCTTGATTAGGGAATAAGTGTTGATTAAGCATGCACACCATGCCGGGCTCTGGTTCATACCAGGGCACAGAGGCGAATGAGGCAGGCCTGGTGCTGTCTGTCCCCATGGTGGCTTCTGATCCAGCAGAGACATTGAACTGATTAGAAAAGTGAAGAGCATTACGTGGAGTCTGCGGCAAGAGCTGTGTCTCCTATGAAATCTTACTTAATTCATGTATGCAAAATCTATTAAACATAAATGTATGGTTTGGTGAAGCTTTAAAAACAAGCCTTTGAAATTAATCACAACTCTGTTCTACACCTGTGCTACCTGATCCAGTAGCCACTAGGTTCACATGGCTATTTACAATTAAATTAATTAAAATTAAATAGAATAAAAAATCCATTCCTTTGGTTGCACTAGTCACATTCCAAAAGCTCAGTAGCCACACGTGACTTGTGACTCCCAGCCTGGACAGTGCAGAATAGAGCATTTCCATCACAGCATAAAGTTCGGTTGCATAGTGTTGTCCTGGATTGTTTTATATGAGCAGTCACTGTTAGCCTTTGACACTCTGGATGTCGAATGTTAGGGCTGATGCGTTCAGACAGGTGAGTGAAGGCCATCGTTGGTCTCACCGTTCTCTAGAACAGAGCTTGTTAACTTCCCTGTTTTCCTTAGTATAGACATTTTCTTTTCATGTTCCCTGCAGTTGTCCTCTGCTTTGTAGTCCTTCCCCTTCCCCCACTGTACCCATTCTCATTCATGCTTTCCTAGTTCTGATTCCATTTATGCAGTTTTACTCTAAAAACAAGTTTACTTGTAGGCTGTGTTACAACCAAACAAACCCATGGTGACTCTTAAAAATTACAAAAGGATATTTGAAAAAAAAAAGAACAAAAACATGGTATTTATTAAATTCTCCAAAGTCTGTTTCCCATTAGATGAGTAAGAAGTACTCCAGGGTGTTATTTCTGTTCTTATTGGTCTTGCTGAGCGCCTGACTGAAGATGGGCAGGAATGTACAATAATTGTGTTCTTGACCAACTTGCCGCAATATTTTTTCAGAGTAAAAAACTATGTGATTGAGGTAGTGGTGATTGTCTCTCATTTTGAATTGAGACGTGGATAGAAGATTATGATGGAGATATCAATAGCTTCTTTAGTTTACACAGGACTATTCCTTTCAAAGCAAATACCACACACACACATGAACTTGGGTTATACCACCTTCTTTTCTGACTTGCTCTACATCAAGCTTTCCTCCTATACAGTTATTATTATAATATGGAGCTCTTGATCGAAGTATTATTGAATATATCACAGTGGGGCTTATCCACATTATACTTGACTGGATTCTATACTTGACTAGTCTATCTCCATGACTACTTTTATGCCTTTTAAAAATGTTGAATTATACAGGTAATACATAACTGTACTTTGCTTATTAAAAATATTTTTGGTTAAGGATTAAGTTCCCTTTGTCCTGCTGCTGTTTCCTTATAATATATGGTTCTTTATCATTTATTGTCTATTAAAATGCTTGTACGTATAACCTTTCTTCATCTTCAAAGGACACAAGGAGTTTAAATTCTTTCCCGTGAATGCTTCCTTGTGTGGGTCTAGTTTACACCATTGATTGTGCTCTGCCTTCTGCAGGCTTTAGGTCCTGCCTGCCTTCTTAATGTTTCCAGATTGGCTCAGCTGTGGCTCTGCCTCGTTGACCAGGAATAGCTTCCTCAGCAAAGCATATGCTACCCAGTTGCAGTACTATTTGCTCATGTAGGAAACAGTAGAAAAGGCAGCTTCCCCTTCAGTATCATGGAAGCTGCAGAAAGTGCCTCTGGAAGACTTGTGCCTCTGGAGGTGCTCCGCCGGAGCCAGGGAAACGTAACGCTTTCCTCCCTTGTGTCGTCTGGTACTTTCCGCTGTAGCTCTGTGGGGTTTTTCTGATATACTTGATTCAGGGATCTTGCCCAACATGCAATTATGAAAGGCAGGACACAGATGGTTTGTTCTGATAGCATTACTTCAGTCAAGGCCTTTGCTTGGAGTTAGTAGCCTTGTTAAAAAGGCGATGACTGCTTTAAGCAGTTCCCTTACAGTGTTAGGAAAGGAGTGTATCATCACTTGCTGGGAGAGCCTGAACCATTGGCCTGGATCACGTAAACTTGAGTGCTGAGCATACGACTCATTTGAGTAGTACCAACCATGATATGGCCTCAGAAACTGAACCGTGGAAAGTAAGGATCAGCGTCTCACCCACTAATTGACCTTTCAAGCCCTGGGGCATGGAAGTGACCAGCTTGCCTTTTACTGCTAGTGCCACAGCATGCACCAGAGGAAGGATGGGTGCAGCTGGTCTTGCTGAGAATGGGGCTCCAGAATTCTATAGGAAGGGATTTAGGATGGGGCACTGTGGAAGACTAGGAGAGGGGGATACTAGGAGATGGGGGTGTAGGACTAGGGAATTTGAAGCTGGATTTGCAAAATACACCAAGTTTTTACTCATATTGCATGTACACTGAGGGTGGCTTTGGTAAAGGCTGCTGGAATTACAGACATCCAAGTGGTTCCCCCTAAGTCACCCATTAGCACTGCCTCCACTTGCCATATCTTACCACTCTTTCTTCCCATTATCACAGTGCAAAGCTGGGGCAGAGGAAAGAGGAGGATGTACAGGGAAGTGGTCATATTCCTGTTACTATGGTTTCAGGATCTGAATGGGAAGGGGTTGAGTCTGTCTATAGTGATAACCTTTGGCTGCAACATATGCTGGCTGGAGAAGAGTGAAACTTTGAAGTGGAAAGAATAAATGACTCTTCTATACCAGAGTTAATAGATATTTTCCAAGTTCTTAGCTGAATTTTGTTCTAGAACATTTTTAAAAAATCTGTTTAAAAACTGCATATAAATGGAGAATAATGTTTCTAAGCTGCTTCTTTAACTAAAGGCAAATGTAAGAAGACTAAGCAGCAGTGGGCTGGACATGTCACATGGGTGTGCACACAGGCATGTCCCCTTTGCCCTGGATGAGCTGAGGGAGGAAAGGCAGGCGAAGGTGTGGGAAGCCACACTGACGCCCCTGCAGAAGGGGTGGAAAAACAGCAAATGCAGCCTTCTGCAGGGAACTGTGAAAAGATCGCTGGCTCTGGAATCCACGTTTCCCCCACCCTTCACTTTTCCAGTGGCCCAGCCATCTGGCTCTCAGACAGTGAAGCTCTCTTGTTTATTCAGCCTGGATTTGAGGTGTAGTATGTAGGTAAGGACATGAGTTTGGTTTATTATACTCAGGTGAATGGGGAAATGTGCTATTTTCCTTTTTCAGCTGGGAAATAC